ACGTCATGGTACGCTAAAGAGAATTTATTATAGGACCAACATCTCTACTTACTTGAGTCGTCATGGATTGGGCTAGAGTAAGGAGAGCCTCTCTAATTTCTCCGTTAGTCATGTCCAAGATAACCACCGGAACCTCATCCCCTTGAGCAACTTGAACACCTTGTGGAACTGGTATACCTTGGAGATGAACTCACTTATTGACTAGTTCCTCATCAACTGTCCTTGTGGGTTTCCTTCGAGTATTTATAACCTATAAACACAAGAGAAGAGTTGCAAAAAGACACTTATAAGTTCTTGCTCATAAATGTGTCCTATAACCTCTTGCTCATAAATATTTTGCGACCCACCACCGATGAACAAGACTGTACTAGACGTGGCTTTCATGAGATCTTGAGTCCTAAGAACTAATTCATAATCTTATGCTATGATACCAAGATTGTCACGACCCAAAGTACACCCTAGAGGATAGGTCACCTTTATGTCGCAACACGACATACTCGACCTCTCGAAGGTCTTTAAAAAGCCCTCAGACATCACTCATCGAATATATATATATATATGGAAAATAGTGCGGAAATAAAACTTTTCACAAAAATAGTAATATTCTTTTATAGAAACATATGGAAGACCCAGTCTAGTCATCACCATATTAAATAGATTAAAATCATAGGGTAACAATCCATACATCACTACAATGGAAAACCATAGTCCATTACAATTTCTTTGAAAAAGGAAACTAAACATAACTATGTCCTTGATTCAAATAAGGACAGACCAAGTCTTTTTGAGAGAATGTTATTCCCATGCTTTGCTTCTAAAAGGCTGCTCACTCTCTAGCTACACTTGTAGAATAAACAACATATGGATTTAATACATTAAATGCACTAAGTATGGTTATATGCAATAAAATCATGCTAAATTAGACATTTACTTTACAATGTGATTTTTATGCTCTTCTTATTGAGATGTCATAAAAAAATTATAAGAACCACTTTCAAGACAACATCACATATAAGAAATATTCAATTAATATGTAATAGACAACCCTAAAAACTTAGAAACCATACAACCATATAGACCTCCTAATAAAGATTATCCTAAGACCCACTTAAGTAAAATATGAAGCTGCCGCCGATAAAACCATTTAACATACACCTAAGTGATCCTCAAGACTTCCCAAAGTATAATTATTCCCCTATAATAATTTAACTATCTACCAAAAGTTACTTTAAGACTCACCTAATTAAGACACGAAGAAGCCGCCAATGCACCCTCTTAAAGTCTACCTAATCATTCATAAAAGCTACCGTATATATAAACCTTTTCTTCCATTATAAATTAGCTACATCAACAATATTCATTAAGACATTTAATAGAAATTCATCAATTAGAGTACTTCACATAATCGTCTGGGAGGACCTAGGGAACCTTATCCTATCATCTTCAAACTCAACTCGTGCAATGTATAGATAGCTGTCACGACCCAATTTCTCGAGCCATGAAGGCACCGACTATAACCCATCAGTAGGTAAGCCAAACCACAACCGGATGCTCTACGTACTTGAGGCCGGACCTCTAACCGGATGCTCTACATAAGTATGTGGATGTTCGAGGCCGGACCTTAAATCCGGATACCCGACAAAGATGTCGATATAGCTGCTGAAAGAGTCTTTATCTATCCATAATCATATAAACCCGTGGAACACCATCCAAACATAACTAATCAATGTAAGTTCTTAAAGCTGAATCGAACTCAACTTTGATTCACGGAGCGGAAATCATTGTCACTGACGTAACTCAAGAAGCCGTAACATCGAAGAAATAAGAGTAACTATCGCTAGAGCAAGCTCATCGTCTTTCTAAATACCCAACTATCAGAGTCAAGTCTGCTACATCAGTCTACAAGGATTTAAGTCGGCCGAGCAACGTCGGGGCTAAACTAAGTCCTACCGACTTTGAATCATGCATTTCTAAGGAAAACCCTAGTCAACCCTAAACTAAGGCCCAACATACTTCTGACAACCTGTATTCAAACATACAAATAATTCATATAGCAAAGAAGGTCAATTAATAACAATAAACATGCTCACAGTTACCCGATAATTCTCAGAAAAAGGGCAAAAATATGATTCTTAACACCTATGGATGATCCAATAACTACCCAACCCAAATCCCAACTAATCAACATGCATTCACATGTTCGAGTTCAATCTAAGAAGAGAAACCATAGCCTACCTGAACGCAGATCACGCGCGCTCCAAAATTCACTCCCAGGATCTTTTACTTTCTAAAAGGCCTCGAAACGTTGATACACTAAAATCGCAAGAAACGGAGACGGGTCAATTTCATGGTCAAAATGGAAAAAGTGGGTTCCGCGTTGAGAAATCCCGAATTAACCCCAAATAAAAGTCCTAAATAACTCTCGAAACTTGTATACCATAATGGAGCATAATTCAGGACTCAAAACAGTCCCAACCTGAACATGCAACAAAAGAACCCAAATTCTAAGCTAAATATCAGCAACTATGGCAGCAGCTACTTACAAGATTTTACCAAAAATGAAGCTCCAACAGCCAAAACCAACCACACCACGATGATCCTCACGAAAAACCACACAATATAGGCTCTTGAATCACTTGATTCGGACCTAAAATGGCCAAGAAATCACCTTATAAAAAAACCCAAAACTTGTGCTCGAAAATGAGCTAGACAGCAGTTAAAACCCAAAATTTACCTCAAATCGGGTCCCTAAATCAGATTCCAAGCTCACCAATGCGTTGCCCTCGAAAAATCTCACAACTTAGACTTTTGAATTGCCCAATTTGGAGTTGTATAGCTCAAGATATCAAGATTCTAAAGTAAGATACAAAGCTGAAAGTTGGGTTTTTATAGGGGCTGCACCAGATTCAGCTTTGCCTACTTTCTTTAAAGTCTCCAACGGGTGCTCGGAATTCGTTCGGAACCTGATAAAAATAAAATGGATATGCTACCCTACCAAAGTCGACATTCCAGACTCAATGGCGCAGTCGAAATTTTCGTCAGAGGTCATCTCGATAAAATGTGGGTCCCACTTCCATTGGCCATTTTAAGTCAAAAACCACAAAAGGGCTCGGACAAATATCAAAAACCTCAAAACCCGAAAGAAGGGTCAAACTAGACCAAACTCGACATTCCGGAGCTAACCACGCTGACAGAATTCTCATTCGAGCGCGTTTACTCAGAATGTTGACTAAAGTCAAACTTAGCCTTTAAACTTAAAGTTAAAACGCCTAATCCCACCAACTCACACTGAAAACTTTGGGAGTCATGTCGACAATGCTACTAGACTAAAATGACCCTTCCGGAACTGATGGAATCGTCAGAATTGGATTCTGATGTCATCTTCTTGAACTTTTTATCGAGAATGATCGTTCAAGGTTCATAAGCTTCAAAAATACTAAAACTCACACAATAACCAAACGAATGACCAGGTGAACGATCTGTCAGTCCCAACAAGTCATAAATGACTTGGAATCGCTATAGGAACGCTCTAAACGATGTACAGAAGATAAAACACTAAAAATGACAACAAGGGTCATTACAATATCCTCTACTAAAAAGAACTTTCGTCCGCAAAAGTAAGGGTCAAGAAGTACCTGAAGGCTCAAACAAGCCGGGAAACTGCTCTCGCATCTCCTGCTCGGTCTCCCAGGTAGCCTCCTCGACTGAACGATGCCTCCAACGGACCTTAACAATAGGAATGGCTCTCGAGCGCAATTTCCTCACATCTATGGCTAGGATGGCAACTGGCTCTTCTACAAATGTCAAATGATCATCCAACTTAATTGCATCATACTGGAGCACATGGGACTCATCTGGAATATATCGACGTAGCATTGAGACATGGAAAACTGGATGGATGGATGAAAATGCTGGAGGTAGGGCCAACTCATAAGCAACCTCCCCAACTGTCCGAAGTATCTCAAAAGGCCCAATATACCTGGGGCTAAGCTTACCCCGTCTCCCAAATCTCATCACACCCTTCATGGGAGACACACGGAGAAATACCCGATCACCAACAGAGAATCTCAAAGGTCGACGCCTCCGATTCGCATAACTCTGGTGCCTACTCTAAGCTGTCCTGAGTCTATCCTGAATCACTCTCACCTGTTCCAAAGCCTCCTGAATCAAATCTGTACCTCGCGGCCTAGGCTCTGTAGACTCGAACCAGCCCACTGGAGTGCGACAACGCCTACCATACAAGGCCTCAAACGGGGCCATCTGAATGCTAGAATGGTAGCTGTTGTAACTCGCTAACCCGACAAAGCTGAACCTCAGTAACAGAAGTGGGTCTGTCCCAATCACGAATAGCTTCAATCTTTGTCGGATCTACCCTAATACCCTCCTTGGACACCACGTGCCCCAAGAATGCTACAGACGCAAGCCAAAACTCGTACTTTGAGAACTTGGCATAAAGCTGCTGATCTCTCAATGTCTGGAGCACTATCCTCAAATGCTGCTCATGCTCACTCCGGCTCCGCGAGTATACCAATATGTCATCAATGAAGATGATAACAAATGAATCAAGGTATGGCCTGAACACACGTGTCATCAAGTCCATGAAGGCGGCTGGGGCATTAGTCAACCCAAAAGTCATCACAAGGAACTCATAATGGCCGTAACGAGTCCAAAATGCAGTCTTAGGGATGTCTGCTGCTCTAATCCTCAGCTGATGGTACCCGGACCTCAAATCAATCTTAGAAAATATGACGGCACCCTGAAGCTGATCAAACAAATCATCTATACGAGGCATAGGGTAACGGTTCTTCACCGTCACCTTGTTCAGCTGTCTGTAGTCAATGCACATCCTCAAAGTCCCATCCTTCTTTTTCACAAACAGAACAGGAGCACCCCAAGGCGACACACTCGGACGAATGAACCCCTTTTCTAAGAGGTCCTTTAGCTGTACACTGAGCTCTCTGAGCTCTGCAGGAGTCATCCGATAAGGCGGAATAGAAATAGGACGAGTGCCAGGCTCCAAATATATAGCAAAATCAATGTCACATTTTGGGGGTAGGCCAGGTAGATCTGTAGGGAACACATCGGCATACTCTCTAACCACAGGAACTTAGTCAACTAAAGGGCCCTCCCTACTCACATCTCTGATGTGGGCCAAATACGCTAAACACCTAGAAGAAACCAACCGCCTAGCTCGAATAAAAGAGATTATCCCCGTCGGTGTGTCACTATAAGCAGCCTGCCACAATACCGGGGGAACACCAGGCATGGATAAGGTAACAGTCTTGGCATAGCAATCCAAGACCGCATGATATGGGGATAACCAGTCCATGCCCAAAATCACATCAAAATCAATCATATCTAGCATAATAAGATCAGCTCTAGTATCATAACCCTGGATGGTCACTAAGCAAGATCGCAATACTTGATCCACTACTAAGAACTCACCTATCGGGGTCGAAACATGAACCGGCTCTTCCAAAGACTCGGACCTCATACCCAATCGGGGAGCAAAATAAATAGATACATACGAGAATGTGGACCCTGGATCAAATAATACTGTAGCAGGCTGATAGCACAAGAAGAGCGTACCTGAGATGACATCGTCAGATGCCTCAGCCGCCGCCCTTGTCGGGGCAGCGTAGAAATGGCCCTGAGCACCTTTACCTGGTGCACCCGATCTACCACCTAAACTGCCTCCCCGAGCTCCACCCCTGGTAACCTGTCGACTCTCTCGATGATCCTGAATCTGACCACCTCCTCTAGCCGAAGAAGACATGGCTGAAACTGGTTTAAAAGTAGGTGGAGCTGGTACAATCACCCCCCGACCTCGCCGGGGGCATTCTCTAGACCAATGGTCAAGAGCACCACAATCATAACACCCCGAAGTTGAACGCCCTTTAGTAATCCGACCGCGGCATGGAGGAAAAGAATCTGATCCCCTCGAATTCTGGCCTGTACTAGGACCACTCTGCTGATATTGACCTCCCTCAGAAACAGGTAATGCCACCTGAACAGGCCGACTGGTCTGACCCTGCTGGAACCTCTGACGTGGCCTATCATATGAGTCCCTCCCCCTAGTCTGCGACTCGCTATAGCTGCCATGGTAGCGTGCCCTCTTATCGCTGCCCCCTTGGGCCTCACGATGAATATGCTCCATGGATCGGGCATGATCGACCACATCAAGAAAAGAACGGCCAGCTGAAACCATATGCTCTGTGTCAACCCTCAAACGGTATCGCAACCCACGTACAAAACAACGAATTCTCTCTCCCTCTGTGGGCAGGATCATAGTAGCATGGCGAGACAACTCATGGAACATCGCCTCATACTCTGAAACGGTCATAGATCCCTGCTCCAATCTAGAGAACTGATCACGAAGCCTGTCTCTGACGCTCCGTTGCATGAATCGGGCCAAGAAAGCCTCTGAGAACTCACTCCAAGATATAGGAGGAGATCCAACTGGCCTAGACTCCCGATACGTGCGCCACCACTGCCTGGCTTGCCCACGGAACTGATGAGCGGTAAAGTCAGCTCCTCTCGACTCCAAAAGGCATAATGACTGTAACTGCTCCTGGCAAGTGAGCTCAAACTCGTGAGCGTCCTCTCCAATCGCCCCTGAGAATATAGGCGGTGCCAACCTCTGAAATACCCCAAGCATCTTCTGATCCCGCTGTGGCATCTCTCTAACCTCTAAGTCTGGTGGGGCGGCCACATGAACTGGTGGCGGCTGATCTTGCAGCGCTGGTGCTGGTACTGCTAGTGCTGGTGCCTGTCGCATATCCCCAATAGCTGCTAATATCTGAGTCAAGAGGGAATGAAGATCAAGTGCTGCAACTGGTGCGGGTGGTGGCTGGGCAGGCCCCGGCCCCACTGCCTGTGGCGGTACATGCGCTGCATGAGGCTCCTCCTCCATATCCCAGGCAGGTGCTGCAGCCCTACCTCGACCTCGTGGTCGACGTCTACCCCAAGCTGAGGCTCCGGGTGCATCACCCCCGAACGCACCACCTCGCGTGCGAGCCATCCTGTAATAGAGTGAAACAACTGAGATTTTAAGAAACAAACAAGACACACGAGGCACGAATTTAAAACAAAATGGATATTTTCCTAAATACTTCCTGTAGCCTCCTAAAGATAAGTTACGGACGTCTCCGCACCGATCCGCAGGGCTTTACTAGACATTAGCTCTGTAAAAGTGAGACCGTTGAACCTAGGGCTCTGATACCAACTTGTCACGACCCAATTTCTCGAGCCATGAAGGCACCTACTATAACCCATCAGTAGGTAAGCCAAACCACAACCCAGAACCACACATACAAGGTGTGAGGGTAGAAACTAAAAAAGACTAAGAAAAATTACTATAACAACATAAGCAAACCAAAACATAAATACAATAAAGGATCCCTCCCAGAACCTGGAAGTCACTAATACAGAGCTACCAACAAAACGAGTACAAGTCCCAACAGTGGACCACCGAAACTAGACTGTCTCGAAAAGTAAAAGACAAATCTTTATATAAACAGATGGAGACTGAAATAGTACAAAACGCTGTGTGCTCACCCCTGTCTCCAGACCAGAAATTCTCCAAACTCGATCAACGCTGACTACCGGTGCTCGGACCTGCATCACGAAAATAGATGCAGAGCGTAGCATGAGTACCAAAAAAACAGGTTCGCAGTAGGCATCATAGGCCGACTGAACTAGAAAAGTAAAGCACTATGAAAAGACGGAATCACAAAACTAGAGGTCAAGAACAGAAGGCTAAGTAACACAATAATGCACACGAGTGTATAAAAATCTAACTAAATTAAAATAAATAAGATAACTACACCTAATTGGACCCACCATAAGCCCAGAAGGTATACTCGTGCACAAGTTTAAATAAAAACCCGAACGGACCCCCATAAGCCCGACGAGTACACAAAATAACTATAACTTAAGGAGGATAAAACTCGAGGCCAAAGAACACAAAACCAAAAAGTAAAATCTGACGATACGGAGGTCGGGCCTTGAACCGGACACTCACCAGAATTACACAAGTAGCCAATTGCAAAATATAAGTAACTGAGGCCGGAGCTCTAACCGGATGCTCTACATACTTGAGGCCGGACCTCTAACCGGATGCTCTACATACTTGAGGCCGGACCTCTAACAGGATGCTCTACATAAGTATGTGGATGTTCGAGGCCGAACCTTAAATCCGGATACCCGACAAAGATGTCGATATAGCTGCTGAAAGAGTCTTTATCTATCCATAATCATATAAACCCGTGGAACACCATCCAGACTTAGCTAACCAATGTAAGTCCTTAAAGCTGAATCGAACTCAACTTTGATTCACGAAGCGGAAATCATTGTCACTGACGTAACCCAAGAAGCCGTAACATCGAAGAAATAAGAGTAACTATCGCTAGAGCAAGCTCATCGTCTTTCTAAATACCCAACTATCAGACTCAAGTCTGCTACATCATTCTACAAGGATTTAAGCCGGCCGAGCGACGTCGGGGCTAAACTAAGTCCTACCGACTTTGAATCATGCATTTCTAAGGAAAACCCTAGTCAACCCTAAACTAAGGCCCAACATACTTCTGACAACCAGTATTCAAATATACAAATAATTCATATAGCAAAGAAGGTCAATTAATAACAATAAACATGCTCACAGTTACCCGATAATTCTCAGAAAAAGGGTGAAAATATCATTCTTAACACCTATGGATGATCCAATAACTACCCAACCCAAATCCCAACTAATCAACATGCATTCACTTGTTCGAGTTCAATCTAAGAAGAGAAACCATAGCCTACCTGAACGCAGATCACGCGCGCTCCAAAATTCACTCCCCGGATCTTTTACTTTCTAAAAGGCCTCGAAACGTTGATACACTAAAATCGCAAGAAACGGAGATGGGTCAATTTCATGGTCAAAATGGAAAAAGTGGGTTCCGCGTTGAGAAATCCCGAATTAACCCCAAATAAAAGTCCTAAATAACTCTCGAAACTTGTATACCATAATGGAGCATAATTCAGGACTCAAAGCAGTCCCAACATGAACATGCAACAAAAGAACCCAAATTCTAAGCTAAAAATCAGCAACTATGGCAGCAGCTACTTACAAGATTTTACCAAAAATGAAGCTCCAACAGCCAAAACCAACCATACCACGACGATCCTCACGAAAAACCACACAATATAGGCTCTTGAATCACTTGATTCGGACCTAAAATGGCCAAGAAATCACCTTCTAAAAAAACCCAAAACTTGTGCTCGAAAATGAGCTAGACAGCAGTTAAAACCCAAAATTTACCTCAAATCGGGTCCCCAAATCAGATTCCAAGCTCACCAATGCGTTGCCCTCGAAAAATCTCACAACTTATCCTTTTGAATCGCCCAATTTGGAGTTGTATAGCTCAAGATATCAAGATTCTAAAGTAAGATACAAAGCTGAAAGTTGGGTTTTTATAGGGGCTGCACCAGATTCAGCTTTGCCTACTTTCTTTAAAGTCTCCGACGGGTGCTCGGAATTCGTTCGGAACCTGATAAAAATAAAATGGATATGCTACCCTACCAAAGTCGACATTCCGGACTCAAAGGCGCAGTCGAAATTTTCATCAGAGGTCATCTCGATAAAATGTGGGTCCCACTTCCATTGGCCATTATAAGTCAAAAACCACAAAAGGGCTCGGAAAAATATCAAAAACCTCAAAACCCGAAAGAAGGGTCAAACTAGACCAAACTCGACATTCCGGAGCTAACCGCGCTGACGGAATTCTCATCCGAGCGCGTTTACTCAGAATGTTGACTAAAGTCAAACTTAGCCTTTAAACTTAAAGTTTAAACGCCTAATCCCACCAACTCACACTGAAAACTTTGGGAGTCATGTCGACATTTCTAATAGACTAAAATGACCCTTCCGAAACTGATGGAATCGTCAGAATTGGATTCTGATATCATCTTCTTGAACTTTTGATCGAGAATTATCGTTCAAGGTTCATAAGCTCCAAAAATACTAAAACTCACACAATAACCAAGCGAATTACCAGGTGACCGATCTGTCAGTCCCAGCAAGTCATAAATGACTTAGAATCGCTATAGGAACACTCTAAACGATGTACAGAAGATAAAACACTAAAAATGACAATAAGGGTCATTACAATAGCATCCCATTCAACTACCTACACGTTGTAGAACTTCTCCAACACTAGAATGCATCCACATGATGAAAATAGGCATTAACCACTATAGACAACACTTGCTAGGTATGGAATCCATAGTCTACCCCTACTCCAAGGAGGATGTTGTACTTACCTAAGGTAGAACTAGAACACATCCCATGTCGGCATATGGTTAAGGAATATCACAGGTTTGTTTTTACACAAACAAATCTTAAGTAGAGCCACTACAACAAGCATATGCACTTGGTGTTTTTCTTTGTTCTCATATAGTAAGTTCATTCATATAGAGGTGTATGAGAAGGTTCCATTTGTTAGTCTTACACAATAATAATACCCTTACCATGTATAGGTCCACTAGGGCTGCCACTCAAGGTCCTTAAGGATTAAGGATTGCTCTTATGACTTCCTTAAAGATGGTTTCATGTTTTTCCTGCCAACCTATACCTAAGTCCATCATTCCACTAAAGACTTACACCATTATGGCCTTTCACTACAAGAATTTTATGTTCTTGACCTTCTTTTAATAATCAAGGTCCTATATTAGTCATCATTAGAAGGGTATCATCTTAGGTCTACCGACTCGAGACTTTAATTCATGCATACACATAAGTGACAATGGTGCTTAAGCCTGCTAAGTCAAGAGTTAACATTCAAATAACTTTCATGTATCAAATAGAGGGTATTAAGTCTTCCAATCTAGACATAACATCATCATGTCACACCTTCAATAACATTAAAGTACCATGTAGGGACAACTATTTCTACCTAGCAAGATAACCTATCAACAAAGATAATGAAATCATCATAGTCTATCATAATGACACATAACCGATTGGAACCAATAAGGGAGAATCATAATTTAAAATTCCATACACACATACACAATTTCATCCTTCACATTATTCATCTATACAAGCTATAAGATGATAATAGCATTATCCACAGAATAAAGATAACAAGGCAATGTTCATAAAAATTATAACACACAAACACCGTCATGATAAGTGGAAAATACAAATAAATACAATTTAATATAGATTCGACACAATATAGACATATTAGATCAATTTCCACCTTCCCATCATCATCATCACCATTCTTTAGCCTTTTTGAAGCAACTTATTTTGCAAAGGCTCTTACAAATATATATATATATACACAATATTAAGTAAACAATCAGTCAAAAAAAATTATCAAACAACATAAAATATAAATATTATAAGCATAACGCATGTTATTGACAATTTTATAATAACCTATACATACTTCAATAGCCCAAATACAATCTAATAATGAATTCTAACCCATGAGAAATTTACCTATTTTAGACACAAATACAATAATCCATCAAATAGATGGGTTGATATAGTTTATGATCTTAAAACTCTTAATTGACATCAATTATACCATTAACATTGATTGAAACTGTTTCAAGCGAGAACCTATTGCTATAATTCAAAATAGAAGTTCATAGTTTTAGAATATCTTAGAAAAACCTTTGGAATTTGACTCATTGAATTAAAGAGTAATAAAGGATTAAAAAAAACACCTATATTGAATATAATCCATGAAATTCATGGAGCATCATTGGAGAAACCAAACTCCTAGCTTCAACCTTGGTCCTAGCTTTAATGGAGTCCACAAAAAACTCATTTTGAACTTGGGGTTTTGTTTTTGGATAATGCGGTCTATGTCTAGGGTTTATGATCTTAATTAACAAAAAAAACCATAAAAGACACAAAATAACCGTACATGAATCAATTATCCCCTAGGTGAATTTCTCAAAATATTCCAAGCTTGGCTGAGACACCTACAGAAAATTGAAGGTGTCAACCGACATTTAAATTGACAGACCATCAACTAACCAACGGATTGTTCTGTTGGTCCCTTTTTTTGGGTAAGAACTTGTATTTGTGATCTCAATCTCTGAAATCTAAGTGTAGAAAAACTTCTCCCTATCGATGGGGTGTACACTTGACCACGGAGCATCGATTAAACTAGTTTTTTGGGACTATTTTTTTGCAGTTTGTTTCGAAAGTTTGGGTCCTCTTCAAGGACCCTTCAGGTGGTACTTAGGGAATTTAACCCATACATTTCAACTCAAAACACGTAAATTTATATATTAGGAACCTATCCTATCAGTTTGAACTCCAAACAACACGTAAAATATGAAATGGCTCACTAGAACACACTAGCATACCCAAAGGAGAACATTCGAACGTCTAGGTCATAATTTGAAATTACACTTCAAAAATCATCCAAACACTTAAGAATGACTATCAATAATATAATACATCATTTTTACACCTTAAAACTCATGAAACACATGTTAGGATCTAGTTTAACCTAGTGATAATTTGTAATCCTATTATTGTATAAATGAATGTAAAGGTATATGTGTCTTGATTTGGTAGGCTAGTGCATCCTCTTGCATACTAGTGATGTATATTTACTTAAGTGAATTTATGAATGATGGTGCACTTTATTTAATTTAATAAAGACATCTTAGACTATGTTTTTAACCGGTAGACCTACGCTTGGTTCTCTTTCACGTTTATTCTAGAACCCTATGTGCAACCTTTTATCAGTCGGACAAATATAAAAGGCACCATTATTGTAAATTCAATGAACTATCCTTAACGAACCTCAATTGGTAGACCATTTGGTGGTAGTTCTTCTAGGTAGAAGTATAATGTGTCGGTAGACCTAATGTATATGCCCTCTCTAGTACCTAAATATGAATGAAACTACTTCATGGGAAATAAGGATAAGTAGCGAGTTGATATTGTTAAGATTGATTCTCTTCCAGTTGTTGATGATACAATCTAATGGACATTTTTTTTGTTTCCCCTAAACTATGTGCCTACATAAAATGTGTATTATTTCTACCTCAGTAAAGTATAACACATTTTAACCTTGAGGGGATAGAACACCTGATTCCATGTCTAGCTTGCATGGTGTATGTCATTTAATGCCTATTTCAATCATGTGAGATTTCCACTCTAGGTACTTGATAGGTACTACAATGTGTAGATTGTATTATATGATTCTATATGCACATGGAACTTGTAGGCCTTGAAGGTGCTCGAGTGAGTGCCCTAAGACTTCATGACTAATGTGAAATCTACTAATTAAGATATACATTTTTTTATAGAATATGATGCATGTCTCTCCAATATTGATGAAATTGGATACTTTGAATGTTGTGTTGAAATGTAAAGGCTTTTGTCTGGATGTGGCGTGAAGGAGCACTCAGGTGTTGCATGAAGAGGTCGAATGGGCTTAAAATTTATTTCTTAGTTAAGGGTGTCTTAAGGTAACTTTAGATAGAGGTAATAATATGGTAAAGTGATCTACTTAATGTATGTGGCTTTTGTATTCAATGTTGGTTCTAGTTGAAGTATGAGTACTTAAAGTGAAAAGGATAAACATAATGTTTCAAATAATATATTGTTACTTGTCTGTTGGTTGTCACTTATATAGTGACTTTATTATCCAAATGTTCATGAAGCCTTGAAAACTTTAATAAAGCATCATTTTCAACAAAATTTCCCTTTTAGCATGTTTTGCATGGTCATCATACTTAGTGATTAATTGTTATAAGACCAACTTCTTCATGTTTTTAGTGCATAGTGTTAGTTAAGAGTGCTAGGAGAATTCTCTAATTGAAGAGTTGGATCTATTCTCCAAGAATGGGTATGTACTTATGGATTCGAGAACAATAAACTTCTTTTGTTTCCTTTTTATGTAATAGAATCTTGGTTGTTTCTTTCAATTTAAAAGGGTTCTAACCTTTTAATGTTTATGTGGTGTCTAAGATGACTATATTGACACATAGTGTTCCCTCATTTTATAAAAGTGTTTTTCTATTGTTGACTTTATCGAGAAATGTTTTAGTTCTGCACTAATTTGCTTGCCTATGTGATTAATGAACGCTAAAAGGCCTATATGAGCCCCATTAGGGGTAAAGTAAGTTTTGTTGCGACTCAAGGGTGTTCTCAAGTCATGTTCTTCAGCTAAATTCTACATATTTTTTCCTTATCAGATTCCTAAGGTGTTACAACATGATTTCAGTTGGTCATTAATCATAGAATGATAAAATCTATCTATTATTTTAGATCGAGGTGCTCAATTTACTTCACACTTTTGGAGGTCATTTCAAATAAGGCTTGTTGCAGTGTTAATCTTCGTAACACTTTTCATCCTCAAATGGATTGTCAAGAAGAATATACCATTCCTAGCTTATAAAATATGTTGAGGGTGTGTATCATAGACTTAAAGGGTAATTGGGATGATCATCTTCCAATGGTAGAGTTTATCTACAATAGCAGTTATAATTCAAGTATTTTCATTGCTCCTTTTGAAGCATTGTATGGTAGGAAGTGTGGATCACAAGTTGGGGTTTGATATAGGTGAAATTAATCAACTTTTTCTCGCATTAGTTCATGAGGACATTGAAAAAGTTTGACTAATTATATACATGTTGAAGATGGCCCAGAGTCACCAAAGTTTTATGTCGATGTTTGAAGAAGGGATCTATAATTTGAAGTTAGTGATTAGACTACTTGAAATCTCACCTATAAATGGTGTAATAATGTTTGGTAAGAATGGGACGCTTTGTCTTGGGTATGTGATCCCATATCAAATCTTGAAACGTATAAAAAAGTTGTCTGATGAATTAGACCTACAAAATAAATTGCTTTTTTTTTTAACCTGGTATTCCATGTTTCCATGATTAAGAAATATATTGGTGATGTGGTATCCATCACTCCTTTTATGGTTTTGGGAGTTGCTTGGAGTCTTTCTTAGGTAGAGGATTTGGAACAAACTTTAGACCGGCAAGTTAAGAGGTTGAGAAAAAGGAAGAAGATTTTGTAAAGGTGTTGTGAAGGAACCACATAGTTAAGAATGTTACCTGGGAGGCCAAGGCCGATATGAAGTCCTGCTACACCACAATATTTTTCCGACTA